TGGTGTCATTTCAAACACCCTCCTGCTTACAATGTGCTGACTTGGGGTTTCCCTCTCGTGCCCAATCATTCAAACTCTCTGACAGGTCTAACACTTTCCCCCAAATTCCTACAGCTGGGCTGCGATGCAACAAGGCTCTGGAGGAGATAAGAATGAAAGTGGTCATCGAGCTCAGAAGCAACAAAGCCCACATGGAAGAAGCACACCAGCCTGTGTGACCATGAGGTGTCGAAGGGATCAGGGATCAGGCATCAAAGAACAAAAAATCATATAATTGTGAATGAGGGGGAGTGCGGAGTGGGGACCCAAAGCTCATCTGTAGGCAACTGGACATCCCCTTACAGAAGGGTCACGGGGAGGAGACAAGGCAGTCAGAGTGCAGTGTAACAACAATGAAACATACAACTTTCCTCTAGTTACTAAATGCTTCCTCCCCACCACTATCATGATCTCAATTCTTCCTTACAAATGCTGCTAGACCAGAGGATGCACACTGGTACAGATAGGAACTGGAAACTCAGGGAATCCAGGACAGATGATCCCTTCAGGACCAGTGGTGAGAGTGGTGATACTGGGAGGGTGGAGGGAAAGTGGGGTAGAAAGGGGGAACCGATGACAAGGATCTACATATAACCCCCTCCCTGGGGGATGGAAAACAGAAAAGTGGGTGAAGGGAGACTTCAGACAGTGTAAGATATGACAAAACAATAATAATTTATAAATTTTCAAAGGTTCATGAGGGAGGGGGGTGGGGAGGGAGGGGAAAAATGTGAAGCTGATACCAAGGGCTCAAGTAGAAAGCAAATGTTTTGAGGATGATGAGGGCAATAAATGAACAAATGTGCTTGACACAATGGATGTATGTATGGATTGTGATAAGAGGTGTACGAGCCCCCAATAAACTGATTTAAAAAAAGAATGAAGAATAGGACCAGGGATTGGATCCTATTCGAACTGCAAACCAGTTCTTCACAGTTCAGAAAAAGTTACATACTTTCCTCCAAGTTAGAAGAAGATGTAAACAGCTCTGCTAACCTCTCCAGGAAGTTCAGTCAAGGTTGGCTGTGGAATGAGAATAAGTTCAAATGCAGAGTTCGAATCTGCACATGGTGGCGGTTTAGTGACTTGGACCATCTAAGCCTGTTTCCTCATCTAAAGTCTAGGAGTATTAATAATGCCTACATCTCAGAGCTCTTGTGAGGACCGAATGAGCTAATAACTGTTCAGTGGATATTGCAGCCCCCTCGCATATCAAAACTACGATGACTGCTACCATCCCTGTCACTCCCACCCCAGTTTCTGGCTTCACACACATGGACTCACACCACCAGCCTGGCACGTTCATGAGTCGTACTATCCAGGGACCTGAGATGACACTCGGTGCCCTGGAAGGAAGGTCTGGGAATTTACTTCTGGAAAGCCAGCCTTCGAAAAGACTACAGAGTCCAGTTATATTCTGATACACATGGGGACACCAGGGGCCCACCAACAAAATTATGATTAACGAGTTTATTAAGGAAGTTAACAGGTTGTAATGCCAGCGAGAAATCCTCAGGGCAGTTGTTTGATCAGGACGCGTTTGTAACAAAGTTCTAATAAATGCCCAGAGGGGTATCCCACTCTGCTGTGAGCCTCAACCTGAAGGTTTTCAGCTCAAGTTTGGGAGTCAGCAAACCCAGCTCCCTGAACTACGTCCTAGAGGCACCCCACTCTAGTAAGCTTCCTTTGTATGAGCATATCAACTACCTATTAAGCAGAAGAGGAAGAAGGAAGGGGTATGTGCAATTTTCATTTTATCAGAAAAAGCAAAATTATAGCAAGAAGAAATAAAGAAACCCATTACAACACTGGTATTCAGGGAAAAATAATTCCCCTTATATTCATCCCAATGCCATTGTGACACCTATCTCCATGTACATCACTGTGCACAAAAAGCAAGCAGCACAGGTAACAGTCATCTACCATGAGTAATAACTAACATTTACGTGAGCAGTGCTGTTTCCTGGCCCTGGTTATTAGACTCCAAGTCAGAGTGGTTATCGATCTGTTTACTACACTCTAAAGACAAGGGTTAAAAAGGCGGGTTTGTTCTGACATACAAGACACAGCTGTGGAAGCACTCAGTCCACTGCCTAGTAAGCACGCAACCATGACCGCTTCCATGGGCACCGACGTAAACGTTCTCCTCTCCCCATACTTGCTAAGGATTGAACTGCCCCCCAACAGATAAGCTTAAATCCTAACTCCTGTATCTGTGGATATAACCTTGCTTGGGGAAACAAGGTCTTCTTTAAAGAAACTATCAGATACATCAGGCTAGGGTAGGGTGGGTCTTATGCTGGTCCCTTTAAGTGGTATTTTATATAAAAAGAGGACAAATATGGGAGAGGGGCAGGGTCACACACAGGGAAGACAGGTACTTTATGAATATACATCTCCAAGCTAATGAACACCAACCGACACCAGGGCTACCAGACAAAGGAGGAGAGGA